TCTTATAGCCCAATATCATAAGTCACAAATTTGCCTCAAGGGGACTCTGCCTCTGTAGAGCATTCAACACCCACTATCCTTAGACCTTGGATTCAAATAAGGAAAACTCCCCAAACTCCCCATAAAAACCATTCCCCTTTAAGTCTTATTTTATTGTATTATGCTGAGACATTCTTTGCTGAGAGTTTTCTGTTGAATTTGAATTTTTAATGTATTTTTTTGCGCCATGAACAAAATCACATTCACCTCCATTGTATAAGGTAGGGAGCAGAAATCTTACAGACTGACAAAACCCTGGCAAATAAACTCAAAACTATCTGCATGCATATTAGGTGAGTGAGTAGATCTCTTTGTAATTTTAACAAACTGATTCATAATCATGTATTCCCAGATACAATAAAGAATAAGAAATAAAAGTCTTTGTCATTTGTCTCTATGTGACTACTGTCAATCTGCACTGGATACAAAAATAAAAAAATTATGATGATGGTGATGATGATGATGATGATGATACACAAAATCTAACTACTCTTAAAAGGCCACTTTAGGAGGGAAAAAAACACTGCAAGCGACTGTACAGCATGTGTCTGGATGGAGGTCGGCGCAAAGGCGGGGTGGGGATGGAGTGTGATGAGAGGAGGAGGAGGAGGGTGGTGTTACAGACACGCTTGTCTTTGATAGCTCAGGTGGTCATCACCTGAGGGGGAAACAAGCGTTAATGGGCATTCTCAGCAGCAGACAAGCACAGGCTAGCGCTCCCTCTTCCCCGGCTGCCATAAACAGGGGGAAGTATGCATCATTAGATTAGGCTCAGGCTAACTACCCGCAGTGGAGCTCACTTCGTACAGTAGCTAGCAGTGTGTAGAGTGCACAGACTCAACCTCCGGCCTCCCACTGCTCAGTGTGATTGGCTGGGAAGGAAATGGGTCTTGAAGCACAGCAGAGTGATTGGTCAATATGTGGAGTGATTACCTGCACCACAGAGAGAGTTATTATTGTAGATTATGTTATGTGTCAACATTTCTATTATAAGCAATTATATTGACAATAGAGTATGATGATTGATCATTGACAGAATGCCTTAATTACATGAGGAGACAATAGAATTGCCCATGAGAGTTCAATTTCAGTGAAAAACCTAATGGCCAAGTTTATTAAAAAGTAGAACAACCCTGCAGCAAATGATTTAAATGAGCGGGTCACATTTACTGTATCTGGCCTTGGATCTGGGCATGAAAAGACACAAGGCGAGCACAGAAAAAATAGGTTAAACAACAACAGGATTTTTATAAATTACTCATAACAGAAAAGTACACAGCTAAAGATGATGTTTGTCTTACTGTAACGCCTATGGGAACAGAAAAAATGAGCAAAAAAGTGAGTTGAAAAACAGACTGAAAGACAGCAAGAGAGGAATTTGCCTGAGAGGAGAATGAAGGAAGGTATGTAAGTTTGCCTGTCACTTTGAGGTGCCCGATAGCTCTGCCTAGGTGTCATCTTATCACATTTCAGCAGATATTGCACCATATCCCTAATATTCCATCTTTCTGAATTGAATTAATCAAACTGCATGCACAGAAAAGTCTAACTAAGCTCTTAAATCCGTCATTTTGCCTCCAGTCGGAGAAAGCCAGAAGGAAAAGATCCAGGTTAGAATATGAGAGCCCCGAGGGCAGATACAGAGGAAAGCAAGGCTCATCCTTGCAGGAGTAGATTGACCTGAGGGGAAGCTCTTTTGCGAGGCTCTCTGGGTGGGAAGATTTACTGGAGTCTTAATCACAGGTCGACGCTATGGCAACAGGTTCTCTGACCAATGGGAGGGAAACCACAGGTGATGCGTTGCCTTGTTAAATGTCATTTTGACAGAATGTAATGCCAGATATCTTTGGCATGTGTGACTTTTGACACCACAAACCATGTTTTTAACTTTCTGGGTGTACTGTATTGTCTTATTCAAAATTAGGCTAGGGCTGTATAGTATGAAATGTATCAGTTCACCAAAATAAATCTTGCTAGTTGTGTGCAGCCATGCTGATAGTTTTGGCTTTATTTACTGAGGTTTTAAGAATTCATTCTTTGAGATTGTGCTGCCACAACAATACAAAAACTCAATGTCCTTGTCAACAATTGTGATCAAAAACTGTTTTCTGCATTTGTCCAGATGAAAACTGTTGACACTGTGTTCTGTGGATTGGATGGATTTTGGATTTTGATTTTTTAAATGTTTTACTTCAAGATCTCAAATGCTGGGTAAATAAAAGCATGTGCAGATACACCTTAATAGTGATATAAATATGTCTATTGTCAGTTCGTCTGCCGGCAGGTCAATCACTTTGGTCCAGGCTGAAATATCCCAACAACTATTAGATGAATTGCCATGATATTTGGTACAGATATTCATGGTTCCAAGTGGATTAATCGTAGCACCACCAGCAGGTCAGGTTGACATTTTTGGTTTCAGTGAAATGTCTCAACAACTTTTGGATGGAGTGCCATAAAAGTTAATATCCCACTCCCATCGGATGATTTATAAAAACGTTTGTGAGCGTCTTTTTTATCCAGTGCCATCATTTTAATTTCTTCAGTACTTTGGTTTATTGTACTTTTATTTGATGCTAATTGGCAAATGTTTGCATGATAACACACTAAAATAAGATGGTGAACATGGTGGGACTCTCTCAACTCTTTAACATCCAGTTACTATGCAGATAAGGAACCAGCTATAAATATACATAGGCTAGGTGACTAATTCATTCTAGATTTAAAATGATGTTCAAGCTGGTATTTAAAAGATTTCACTAAATTATTTTTGCCATTTTACAATCATCAACATCTATACATCATAATTATATTTTGTCTCTGTGGAGATTTTATTACTTATAATGAAGATGATGATGCGGTAGACCAGTGTATCAGTAGATCATCTGTTATGCAAATAATTTGTGTTTATCTAACTGCACCGCCATCACCTTGAGTTTTGATTAAAAAAAGAGGGCCACCCCAATTTAAGTGGTGAAATTTCACAATATTCAGCAAATGAATTTGCAAGATGCAACAGGTACTGCACTGCTTTCATGACTGTCTACATACCAATGTGACCGCAGTCTAACTATTACTCTCTTTATCTCTGCCCCCTCCGGCACCAGGATAGAAAACCCTGTGTTCTCTTTCCAAAAAAACTCTTCTTTAAAACGTCTGTGGGATATGTACATTTGTTTGTGTTTACCCCTACAGCAAGGTTTTATGACAGGTCTGTCATTTATAGAGAGCAGAGTGAGTACAGGATACTGAAAAATAGTATTAAAAGACAATTCAGCCTCTTCTTGAATGATTAGACATGAAACTGCACAGTGTATCTGCTGTTCTACTAAAGACAACATTCTCACTCAGTTGTGTTCTCTTGCCCACCACATAAGCGCTAGCAGTGTTTTGTTAGAAAGATTGATGCCTGTGTGTTTAAATCCTGTTGTATGTGGCAGTGAGCAGTTTCATTCTGACTGACAGCTGCTCAATATTCTTATTCATAAACACAAGCAGCAATCAGCATAAATCATGTCATTCACTGCACTTTATACGCTTCAAGAAATATTTTTTTAACGACAGGTTGATTTGTTGTTATTTCTGTCTAATTGTCTAACTTGTCACTGATGCACACGCTTATGACTCACAAGAAACACGCCCAGATAATGGTCTTGTTGCAGTGGGAAATTTCCTAACTCTTCACAATAACTTGCGGGAAGCCTAGGGTACTGTAAGGATGCCCGTTTTGCACTCAAGGCATATAAGATCCAGTTCCAGCTCCATTCTGGAGAACACCTGACAAATAGCGATTTTTCTGGCTGACAGCAAAATCCACAGACCACCAATGGAAAATCTCATCATGTTGCAACATTGTTAGTGCAAAGGTCTCGTCAGATCTGTATTCCTTATCTGAAGCAGAGTGGGCAATGATATCCAATGCTGTTTGTGTATGTAATCAAAAAGAAGGCTAATAATAACTACATTCTCACTTAAAGGTCCAGTGTGCAACTCCCTTGCATCAATCTCCCCATCAAATCTAGTCTCAGTGTTTGGTTTGTCCATTCTGGGCTACTACAAAAACATGAAGGTTCAAAATGGCAGACTCAATGGAAGGCGACCCGTGGCGTCTGTAAGTAAAAAAAAAAGGCTTATTCTAAGGTAATAAAAGCATAACAATTCCTATATTCAGGTGTCTATATATTAATGAAAACATACCTATGAATATTATATTCCATTTCTGCCAATAGAGCTCCTAAATGTTACACACTGGACCAGTGTGTTTAGTTGCATCTAGCTGTAGATTTGAACCAACTGAACACCTTTCGCACCAGTATTCGACGACCTGGGAATGAAAAGAGGCTGTGAAGTGTGTTGGAGGAACTACAGTGGCAGTGAAAAAATTGAGGTTGTAGTTAGTGATGGTGTTTTACTGAACTGCATTATATCGAAATGTGTTTCTAATATTTTTTCCCCTCATGTTTGTAAATGCAGTGGGAAAAACATTATAAACAAGAAAGTGCAGTCTAGTTCACACCAACTACAATTGTTTTTTCTACAGTGTCAATCAAAACTGAACATTATTAGCTTATTATTCTTTTAGTAGAATATATGACTGAACTGTTGTATTGAATTGCATTTGATTTTGCAGGTGTACGTAATAAAGTGGCCACTGAGTGTGTGTTTTTTGGGTGAGATGGGTAAAATAATTAAACGAAGAAGAAAAACAACTTTGCCAATATAAAACTTTAGATCGGCGGGACTCCAGATACAACCACCCACTCACCATCTGTGTTGAGAACCACTGAGTCACTATTACTGCTCTCACCCTCCTTCTATCTCCACCACCTGTCACATAACTCAAAGTTACAGGTGTGCTTTCTCACAGCTTTGGCAAATCACAATCCACCTGACATATCTGCCCTTGAACTTATTCATAAATAGCCATTGCAGTGCACAACAAACTGTGGCACAGACAGCAAACTAAGCAGTGCTTGTTTCCAAACGAAGATGAAGACTTCCTTGGTTTTCTTGGTACTGATACTCTGCTATCTTTGCAGAGCTCAGAAACACAGCAGTGACAATGACATCTTGCTTCAAGCTGTTGAGGGCGGGGAAGAGAAGGCTCAAACACAGAGGCCCGGTACTGAAGTTGAGGGAGGTGAACCAGAGCTCGTGCTTCAGTCTGACATCTGGGCTGAACTGAGGATTTTGAAAGACATTGTAATGGAGCAGAGATTGGAGATATGGCACCTGACAAACAGAGTAACAGCTGCTGAGAGCCTGGTGGATGAGTTGCAGAAGGCGAATACAGGTACACAGTAATAAAAGACTCACTTTATAAGAAAATACATGTAGCTGAGTTAACATGAGTGCTGTTGTTGCAGTCATGGAGGCCAGGATGACCGCTGCTGAGAGCTTGAAAGATGAACTGCAGATGGAGAATGACGGTAAACACTATGCCATGCTTTGACAATGTAACCAACCATGACTTGGATATTTTTGTCTCTGATTTTCAAACAATATGATCCCACTTTTCTGTCACTTTAGCTCAAGCTACAGAGCTTGCAGTCACTCAGCAGAAGCTCAGCTCTCTGCAGCAAAGATTGACAGTAAGTGAAGACCGTGTGGAGGAGCTGGGCAAACAGCAGGAAGGTAAAGGTTAAGGGTTTATGATTTGTGTGATGAATTGTGTGCACATGATTATAAATGTATGCCTCATGATTTTAGGACAAGAGGCGGCAGTGCAGGAACTTCAAAATACCAACAGAGGTAAATCAGTTTTGCCTCTGTGTATGTATTTTGCACATGTGTAAAAGTAATTCAGATTTAATTGTATGATGTTCTTTAACTTTTCCACAGTGAGAAAACTGGCTTTTTCTGCCTCCCTTCGGGCAGCTGGTGAAGGTAACACAAGCATCGAAGAATTTCTTCCACTCATCTACAGAAATGTCTTTACCAACATCGGAAACCACTACAACCCAAACACAGGTAGTAATCAGACTTCTTTTATTTGAGAAATTAGCAGAATTGGTTTCAATAACTTCACTTAACAGTTGGGACTGTTGTCTTCTGTTTGTGTTTTAGGTTTCTTCACTGCACCATTAAGAGGAGTTTATTACTTCAGATTTACTGGCCATGTAGCACACTCTGATAGAAGTATGAGACTAAGACTGGTCAAGAATGGAGATGCCACAGTCATGGCGGCTGACCGCGAAACCACAACTGCAGATGCTGAGGACAATGCATCTAATGGTGTAGTGTTGCAGTTAGAAGTGGGAGACGTTGTTTCTGTACAACTTTCTGGAAATGTTTGGGATGACCATTACTGCAGAACAACCTTTAGTGGCTTTCTACTATTTCCTTTGTAAGATATTACAATTATCATCATGAAAGCTACATGCAGGGTCCAATTTGTGTCATTTCACCAATGACTGCAAATTTATTAAAGGTTCTCAGTGACAACACAAAAAGTAGATATTTCTTTTCTTTTTGCACCATAAAACAAGGTTTATGAAAAAAATAATTCAGTTTCTATTCACCTCCACTTCTGGCTCTAATTTTTCTCCCATCTTCTACTGCTTACCCTTATTTTGATAATGCCAAGTCATCAAAAAAGGCAATGATATGAAAATGACATAATTACAATATTATACAGGCAAAACATAATTTTTTTAATGAGTGTTAAAATAACAAATATGCATCTTCAGAAAGCATTTACAGGTTTACATTGAAATAATAAGTTACAGTTCTAAATCAACCAGTAAACCACTAAATCAACCATTTACATTACATGTAAATGGAATGTAGCATAGTTTCATGTTTCACATTTTTATGCTGTATTTGTGTGAATAAACAGTGGAACAATATATATTATGAAATTGAACTGTTCTATAATTAAAGTTGGAGTAATTGTCACTAACGATTTTTATATTTTCTGTAGTTGAACTGGAAGTACATGTGGATGGATGCTACTGTAGAGGCAACTGACCTGTGCCTTATTAGTGAGAATGAGGTCAAGCTTTTTCAAACAAAGCCTTCTAACAAAGGCTCACTTTGGATAAGGTGGACACATTACGTTATGAAAAAAGGAAGAAAAAAACTCAACAAATTCCTCAGATAAAAGTGGAAGAAAATGACATCTCATGAATGTGATCATTGTTTCCTTTCCTTTGGTGTTTCACATCATAAACCTCCCGGAATGCAGCTGCATCAGCGTTTGAGCTTTGACTAAATCCATTCAGACTCTTTGTTGTGCAGTCACTCAGATGGCACGGGCACTCACACGTATGCACACATGTGCACACACGCACGTACACACACACACACACACACACACACACACTTACACAACACCACACCTCAGTTATCAGTCATCTACTATGGCTCTGATAACCATGATCAACACACATGCAAACTACACCTCCATTCACTGTCAGTGTCTGTGGTGAATTCTTTCTCTCTCTCTTTTGCTGCCCTTTACTTTCCCTGTTAGTTCCCACAATGCACTGAGAAGACTATCAGCCACAATTGATCTACAAGCTATCAGATTCCCTCACGGTAAAATTTCACACCCTTGCTGGAAGATATAAGAGTGACTATGTGAAACACATCTACCACCGTGAGGTTTTGTTGGTCCTCGAGACTGCATTCACAAAGAAAAATGGAGGCCAGTATCAAGCAAGAGTGCTCAAAGGAATAATTCAGGTGTGTTTATGGAAAGAGCCTGGAGTGCACTGGAGACGCGGTGTCTCCTTTGAATCTGATGAGGAGTTTAGATGAGACCTGCAGCTATGGTACAGCTAAGGAGCGCTGTTAGTCTGATCAAACAGCTGCCAATATGAAAAGGACTGCCATATCCTCTCAGCACCCGGGGCTGTGTGAAATGAATACAGCTTCTCTGGTTTCCCTCTCACAGGCACCTCTTGGGTTGGAAACATTTTTTCATAATTGCATTTAATTCTATGTTAGGTGTCCCCACAGTGCCACTATTAAGGTTGAGGCTAAGCTGAAGAAGCTTTTCAACCTTTGTCATCGGGGCTTTTGCTCAGTTAGAGGTAGTATCATTGATCCGACTCTAAGAACACAAGAAAACACACAACATATTAAGTTGTATCCCTGTTATTTTCAATATTCCAATTATTCCCATGAACACAGTGTATTTTAAGTGTGTGATATTGTGAAATCCCCCTTTGCTTTGGCATATTTTTGTAGCTGATGAATCAGATGGCTTGGGAAATGGATCTTAAAAGTCTTTAATGAGAGAGGGTATTCCCAATTTGAAAACCTTAGTCATTGTTTCATTAAGGTAGTCTTTCATTTGATTTTTCTTTTTTCCTGTGAAGCTTAAAGTGTGAGGGCTCATTTAAGCTGTGACAGTGCCAGGAAGGTTGCGTGCCTCCTCTGTATCACTTACACTTTCTTTTCAAGAGGATCTGTTGAACTGTGAATGTTTTGTTTCGGGGCTGAGTTCACCAGAAAAGACTGTGTGAAGTATCACTGATATAATTTGTGGGCACTGTCTTGGTAGAACAGGATTTTGTTAATAATACAGAAAGAAAATCAGGAAAATCAGCCAAAGCACAGCAGCAGGCTAAGATGTTAGAAAAGTTGATGAAAGTCTTCAGACACACTCATGCCTCCACTTGCATGCATGTGTTCTCTCTCTCTCTCTCACAAACACACACACACACAACGAATGACAGTACATCTTTTGACTTTAAAATTAAAGGACAGATTCATTATAGGATTATAAAGTCAGCTCTGGAAAAAAGAATCAGTATTTTGTGAGATTAGTGCGAAATCTTCATAAAGAATAACTAATTATGGGGTAATGTATGACAATAGCATTACAGCAATTGCAAAGTAAATTAAAATTCAAGTATATTGTCCTCTTAATATAATTTTCTACACATTTACTGATGCGAGACAAAGTAGTTGAAGAATAAATAAGGGCAATCTGATTAGGGTACATTTTTTTCAGTCTACCTTTTTATTAGCACATTTTAGGCATTACTGTTTGTAATTTGTTTATCATTTGTATATGATACCATAAAAATAGAAATTCAGTCTTATGGGAGAACTTGGAAGTGTTCCATAATAGCAGTTTATGATACAGTTATATGCATGTGGGAGCCCCCAGTAGGTGCTATTAGTCTTCTTTTCTGTACTCCAAAAACATGTTTGGTGCAGGCCAAGGCCCCAAGGCATGTTGAGAGTAAATGTGCATTCCTTTCTGCCTGATTTAAAAGAGAAGTCTCATCTTTTTTTATGCACTTAGTTGATCAGAGATGAGCATGAGGCATTCCTTGATCAAAATCATAAAAGGTAGAAGTGATGTGACCATTCTGGAAATTTACCTTTAATGCTGATTTCTTGAAGTTTCAGATGCTCAAAGGAAAGCATGGACGTGTTGAGAGGTTGAAGATAAAAGTAGATTTTTAGATGTAGTTTAGGACCCTGTTCAGACTAGAACATTTCTTTTGGAAGCAAATAAAGTTATGTTTTAAATCGTATACATGACATGTTTGCATATAGCACAACATTGTGGAGTAATACAAAAGATATTGGCCCCAAATGTCAACTTCCACTGCCCTGTTTGTCTTGGTGCAGGCAAGGTGCAAGCAATAAAAACCCAAAAGAACCACATACACATACAGAGACTCATGCACAAGCACAGGTATGCACACAGAGGGCAGCTCTGAGCCAACAATTCAGTGGAAATGAAGCCCTGCACAGGCCAGATCCTGCAGATGCATATCTGCCCAGAACAATGGAAACCCCTGATTGTACTCTTATTCAAATGATGAACATAGTAATTGACCAGACAACAGATAGCAAAAACACAGGAATGTTTTTACTTGTTTAAGCTTCAAGCTATATATTCAAAATGCTACTCAGCTAAATTAATTAACCTGAAATAAGATGCATTATTGAGATTGTAGATTCCACTGCATTTTGGTGGCACTGACTGAAATTTGTATGACTGATCTGATGCAGACCAAATAGCTCCCCCTTGTAGACAATCAGCCGCCCACTTAAAGGACTAATGTGTAGGATTAAGTGGCATCTAGCGGTGAGGTTACAGATTACAACCAACTGATAACCCTTCCGCTCACCCTCCCCTTCCAAGTGTGTAGGAGAGACTACGGTAGCCACAAAAAGGCCCTCTCTAGACCCAGTGTTTGGTTTATCTGTCCAGGGCTACTGTAGAAACATGGCAGTTTAACATGGCGGGCTCTGTGGAAGAGGATGCACTCCCTCTATAAAGGGCTCATTGTTAGGTAACAAAAACACAATTATTCTTATTTTCAAGAGATTGAATGAAATCAGGAAAACAGGAATATTATATTCCATTTCTGGCAATATTTCTGGCAATCAACCCCTAAATCTTACACACTGGTCCTTTAATATGAATGAGAGGCTTTGTGAGTGAGTTTCTACCCAGCTCTGTGAGGCGCTTTGCCTCCAAAAAAAGAAGAAAAGAAGTAAAAAAGATTACACAGTCTCCTTTGATTTGGCTATGTGCTTATCTACCTTGATGACATTTGTTTGTTTGAAACACACAGTTGGGTGGCCCCATCAGGTTCTTAAGAGTCAAAACCTGGATATACAACAATGACTACTTTATGTCAATTTCAGTCAGGCTTTGATGTTGCAGTTCCGGAAACATTTTGTTTATTATCTCAGGTTAGTCCTTGCTATTCAAATCAAGTGACCTTGTTGTGTGTGAGGTAAAGTCATGATGGGAATAGATCTGTCACTACCCAACGGCTCAGTGAGATATCTCACCCCTGACAGTTCTGCTTGGTCTGAATGACGAAATATCTATGTCTATCTCTAATCTCATTGCCTAATCTGGTGGTTAACTTGTGTTCCAGGTGAAATGACATAAAATCATGCATGTGCATTTTCTTCCTGTTCTGCTGACATTTAACGACGTGGCCTTTTTCCCTTTTTGCACGGCAGTCTATTCAACCAGTTTCAAGCTTCCTCTTCACATAAGTATTTCTACCTGTAGGGCTATATTTTCTGTGTTTTCGCTCTACTCTGCCTCATTGACTCTAATATGGGCTTCCTGAATGGGTTATCTTCAGACTTGTTCCCACAGGAGCTGATGACTCAAAATGATTTCAAAGATGCTTGATGAGAATGCAGATCTTTGTGGTCTGAAACAACTGGAATTGTTGTGATTTATCCTACAGACCCTAATCAAAACTTCAAAGACAGCTAAATTTAGCAAACATGGAACACAGAAGTCTACAGAATATTGCAGGACAGCTGTGTGTCTCTCTTCTGTACAGTGTACAGATCAGAAGCCCCGAGGTCCTGAGGCAAGTGCGTTTCCTAGTCCACACCCAGTCACGTTCCCTCCCCATCAGATCGGTTATGCAAACAACAAAATCTTACAAAGATAACTGATTTAGTTTGCAAATTAAAAAGTGTGCAGA